TTTTTTTTTTTTTTTTTTTTTTTATCAAACTAAAGGGAGGAAAAGGATACATACCCTCGTAATGAAGTCATACATACACTAGATAAAGTTAAAGAAATCGTATGTTTACTCCTTTTTGACTCCTGCCTGTGCAAACCTAGTCGACGCCGACTGAGAAAAACTGCTCCCGGACGCGGGAAATTTGAAAACGCGTGTTACAAATTACGCAGATTGCGCACTAAAGAGCGGACTTCAGATTTTTTTGATGTACCCAGCGTGACTTTCGAGCGAATTTTTCCGTAAAAAGAGGATTCAATTGGCTGTGTCTCTTGTATGCAAAAGACCAAGTTCTAAAATTAGAATTATCAGTCAAAAATGACAGGAAGTTTTTTTTTCCGCTCTACTTACTCTGAAATCAATCGTGGCTCGTCGTATGTTAAAGTTGTCTTATTCGCATGTTTAAAAATGAAAAATACGAAACGATGATGATCTGAAATATTCACAGAAAAAAAAATTTAATGAGGAATGAAAGAGATGATCCCAAGAAATGATTATGCTTACAGAGAAAGAAAAATTCTGCTTTAATTCCGGGCAACTGAGTGGAAAAAGAGGTATTTCCCAAGAAATTATGTTAGGTGATTGCAAATTTTGAGTGATTTTTTGTGGCGTTTCGTATATTCTTGACCATTTTTTTCCCTTTTTTTGTTTGGCAAAGTGACGTTTTAATATTTATGCAAATAGAGAATTTGCAGTTGCCTGAGATTTTGTAAATTTCATTTTTAAAATGATACTGCTAGAAAAACTGAGTACGAGAATATCCTTGGTTTCTAAATTAGACAATTTATTGGAGGAAATATATGACAAAATAACCTAATCTGCTAAAATACATGTGTTCAAATGGAAAATGTCGCCAGATGACGTCATGAGGCGGCACATTCTCCCACTTTCAAATCTATTTTTCTCTAATTTTCCATGTCAGAAAATGTTTTTGAAAAATACTGCGAACTCAGCTCATTAAGCACTATCAGATGAAGCAATACAATTTTTGTGTGAATATTCTCCATTCATGTATTTTAAACAAATTTGTGAAGATTTTCGGTACGCGTATAGGGCTGCTAACAAAAGCATTGTAAAAAATAAAAATTTACAGACCTAAAGATTTAGGCTTGATAGGAGGAATGTAGTCAGTTAATTTTTTTCCAGCTGATACATTGCCGCCAGGGATATTGCCAATCAACCAACATTGGAATTCATGATCCTTAAATTTGGTACCTTTATCTCTGTCTGGATCTAAAAAAAATCAGATTTTTACATGAACTATAACTGAATCACTAAGCCCTAAAGAGGACATGTGCCCTTTGTGTATTTAGTAATTTAACTGTTAGAGTTATCGAGCTGTGCTAAAAATTAAGTTCAACATTTATTGCAGGAAGTCAGACAAACAAGACAAATCGTTGCAGGATTTTCGAGTATAAAATTCAGAAGTCGCTCTCAGCATTGGAACTTTGGAACTCTCTCAGAGATTTTTTTTAAAAAAACCATTAAAATGAGGAATAATAAAAAAATAATAATGTGGCAGACACTGTGATGTGTGACTTGAGCACAGTTTTTAGCCGCGTCATTTTGAATTTGACGATTGTCCAAACGAAAACTGGCAATACTCTTCATCGCTGAGAAATGAAGTAATAGGATGACTACAAGTTATGCTAAAAAGTGAAAATTTTGATTTTTCTTTAACTTTAACATGAATTTTTATACCATCAGGTGGAGTTTGGAAACTCCTATAGGAATTATTGCATGATAAAAACGTTCATAATTTTGTGTCTTCAATTCGTACAGCATTCGAGAGAAGGAAAACGCATTGCACTGATTTACGAGGTGTTTAAAAAAATACAGACTGAAACTTACCAACCATAAGTAAAGTGTAGTATTGCCCTTGCCTTGCAGGCCAAGAAACTTCAGGCTGTGTCATTGTGTATACGGATGGAATAGGATTCCCTAGTTCAGCTCTTGCTTTGGGCCAAACTACCTAGAGGCATTGATTTAAAGTGATTAAAAAAATTGATATGTATGGGTTGATATTATTCTTGTTTTCACAGTGCTCTCAAACGGTTTATTGCCCCTGACTGCCATCTTTCTTTATCAAAATACAACCCTCCGGGCTCTCAAACTTTGACATTGCAGCTTCAATATCCCACCCCTTCGCCTTTTATCACTGGGAGCTCTATGCGCCCTCCAAAAGGATCCCAATCTGTCTATCCCAACATTGTCGTTCTCCTGTGGTGCAGTGGTTGTAGCGCTTGCTCTATGCTCGAGAGGTCCCGGTTCGATTCTCGGTCAGGTGACCTAAGTTTGATGGTCCCAAAACAATTGTTACCTAGGGCTGGCTTGATTAGGGACAAAGGGGGATGGTGCTCCAGGGACGGTAAACTGCAGGACTATCCCTTGTGGGATATTCGAAGTGGTGAAAAAAAAAACAATTTGAATCATTTCTCGTTGACCTGGCATCTACCATTCTCTGCACATGACCACATTGACCATATTATATAAAAATGTTTCATAATTCTATGAAATAAGATCTGTTTAACATTCATGATCTCTAATATCTCCTGACCACAAATGTTATCCCTTCAGGTGGTTCGAACTGATCTACGCTGACAGAACGTGACATAGAAGCCAAAAAATCGTTGAATTCTTTTTTCTTTAAAAAAATAAGATAAAACTCACAATACCTGGATTTCATGTCTAGGACAACCAACAGAGGGTATAATATCAGGGATGATGTTGAACTTGAGCAACCTCTCCTTGATTTTGGCCGGGGATTTTTTTGGTGGTCTTGGTGTTCTTGCAGTTTTAGGGGCTGCCAGAACGTGAAAATTTAACAGGATAATTTGAAAGAGGATTATAACGCAAAAAGTAATGTGCATTGTATCAATCTTATAGAGAGTAATCACAACATTCGATATTATAGTTCCGCCTCCGGTCTAGAAATCACCACCTAATATGAATAAAAAGGACCAAGATTCAAGTGAATTCCGACTCATTTACTCTAATAGTAAAACATTTTAGGGGGTAGGTATTAAAGTAAAATTAATTTATAAAAGGTAAAGAGTTTCCAACGTCCACGCATCGTCAACGTCACAACACTAAATTTGTCTAGCTGTTCACCAGCCGACCATATCTTTACGTCAATCGGATGGAAAGAGTAATCGTTTACTTTTAATGTGATGAAGACATTATCATTCAATAAGATGAGTGACATGTATTTGTTTTGTACTGTTTTTAAGTTTCCACAAGAGCAACCATTATGGCCGAATTCAGGATTTTTAGTCCCACTGGCGCAGTCTGTGATGCCCCCCCCCCCCCCCCCCCCCCCCCCCCCNGGGGGGGGGGGGTTAGTGATGAACTTAGCATGTAAAGAGGGATCCAGGAGGTCTCTCTGTATATCGATTTGGAATTTTAACCTACCTTAATCGATATTGAAGGCGTTTTCAGCACTCCTTGTGAAGGAAAAGAATGTCAGAGGACAGTTTTCCGACGTTTCGCCTACTATTTTGACCTAATAACTTTTTTGCCCACACATTTTTTGACCGAAATACTGTTTCGTCCTCCCACCTCGACCTAAAATATGACCTACAGGAAAAAAAGGAATTAATACAAAAACTAACCAGACATAAAAACTTAAGAAACGTAAACGAATTTTAACGTCCGGGAAAATTATACATCATTATAGTGTACAACATTTATAATTTCGAAGTCTGAAAGTACTATTTTTGGAGGTTTCGGAATGCATGCAGTAATCGCGTATCTTGGCCAATACTGTTTGGCAATTTCTTTTTGCTTATTTAAAACGAGGGAACATTCTGAAGATAAATTAATTCCAATATATTCACCGTTAATACAAGATAGAGAAAAGTAGGTGAACTCAATTTAAACGTTTCCTTCATATATCATATTTCTGATTTGAATAAGGTGTTCAAATGCTTGCGCTAAAATAAGAGTTAGACCAAATTACATGGGCATGAAGCCCAAACAGCGAATAGGCCAAAAGAGGTATCTGCACAAAATTAAGTGGGCGAGAAAATTGTATAGGTCTAAATTTGCAAGTCATACGTGTGTAGTCGGGTGGCTCATTTTTGTATCGTCCTCAAAATTTAAGATCGGGTAGTGAAAAGTCGGTGCCCCCAACTTTTATTGAAGTAACTTTTTTCGGATTTGAAAATATTATACTAAAGGGTCTCACTAAGTTTAGTTATCCCTCTTTTGGTACATTTTAGCATTGGTTTCTCTTAGGCAGATTCTTCAATTTCAGTAAAGTGCACTTCCTTAGAGGTGCAGTGTAGTTTCCAATTTTCCGTGTAATAGAAAAATACAACGAGAAATTATCGCTCTATGGATATACAATGATAGATTTTCTCTGTATTTATTAGGAAAAATGCTTTAAAGGGGCCCAAAATCGGGAGTTTCTGAGAGCAAAAATCACAAAAATTGCAGTAGTGTGGGGCCTCACTTCTGAGCCATTTGAGTACAGTAAAGTGCCCTGAAATCTTCTAATACCGACATATTTCGATTTTAGTCGCTCCTTCAATTTATACCTGTTATTGAAAATGCTGAGTGTCAATCAAAAATTACCAATCCGTGAAGCGTCGATTTTTCGTTGTACTGTTTTAATATACGGAAAATTTGCAACTTTACTGCACTTCTATGAAGTTGAAGAATCTGCCATAGGGAAACCAATGCTAAAATGTACTAAAAGTACGGTACCCCAGTGGGACCCTTAAATAATTTACCAGTGTCTTGGAGTCTACCAGGGAAGACCGGACACAAAAAGTGAACAGCAAATAAACTTGCCAATAATGCTTATTCGATAATAAACAATCGTAAGATCGAGAGTCGTAGCAAGACTGAGGCTAGAAAACTTTCGTATATGAAACGGGCGTCAACGCGGCCGTGCTAAGGAAAAACGTTTTATGAACCTTTACGCGTTGCCAAATTTCCTTTGATAAAACGTGAATTACCTGGGAAATTTATGAATATTTTCCTCCCAATTTTCCAGATAATTTAGCTCACAATTCTACCTAAAGATTTTGAAAGTTTACAGGAAAAATATTCATAACTTTCCGAAAAAATAAACATTTTATTGAAGGAAATTTGGCAACCCTCGAATGTTCATACGGCGTTCTTCCTTAGCACGCTAGAACAGGTGTCCTTTTCAAGGAGCGAGCTGATCTCGACGGATAGCAAAAATGAACAGCTCATGACGACGTAAAAGCTAAGTTGACAAAAAGTTGACACCCGCCGCGCCAGTCCGTTAGGTCTTGGAAATGGCCTTGTAATAAGGTCATTTTCATGACGTGAAATGAGGAAAAATGTCATTCCGTCACTAATATTGATACTTTTAAAACACGAAAGAAGGTCTTTTATCAGGACGGTTGGGAGACGCACTTTTCACTATCAGTTTTTTTTTTTTAATTTCGAAAAAGGTGCAAAAACGAGGCACCAGCACTTTAGTGCGTAGGTCTGATGTTGAAGGTCAAATGTCACGTAGGTTCAATTTGTGTTGGTGAATCATCGTGACAATCAAGAGGACATTTCGAGACACTAAACTCTTTTTCATTTTTAATCAACCCTGATACAAAAGGTGAAAGATCACGATCTTTACTTACATTAAATTTATACGATTTTTCTAGTTTGCATTTATTTAAATTTTTAAATAATTTAATCAAAATTAATTTTTAACTTTTGGTTGATTAATATTAAAATTTGATTTTTATTAAAATTTTCAATATCAAAGACAAAGATAATTAATTTCATCATTTGATCAGTGTAATTGACAAGAAATAAGTGCAATCTGTTCACGTTGCGCAGGAGCTGACATAATGTAAGATTGACAAGGCCCTTTGTGTGAGAAAAAAAATAATTATTAACGGCGTGACGCGGAAAATTGCGCAGAAGGAGAAGCAGTCTTTTTTTTCTCCTTTTTTCAAGTTTTTTTTTCGTCGTCACTTGAAAAGTCTAGCACCATTCACCGCAACTAATTTTTTTTTCTGAGTCATCGGCAGACGACATTTTCGAGGAGCGGTTTTTTGTATCCTTTTTTGTATGGTGCATTAAGTTTCACGAGATCAGCGAAAGCCATTTCGATGACCAGACTTGCGAGTCTAAAAGCATTGCTTACGAGAATGCAGAGGCCTCACTGCTCATTTTTGTGACAACAAACTAGTAGAAGTAGATTTACCGTGATCGCGTGATCGGAGCACCGATGAATGACGCAGTCTCCGTGTTCACCGATGAGAGCGGTAGGGTGGACCGTTTTTGAACTTTTTTCGGAATTCCAAGAAGGCTAGTGCCAAAAAGTCGCGTTTTGGCATAAAAATAACGCTCAATTTTTTCAGAATTTTTGGATGATGTCCTGAGCCCGTCCCGACGCCATCTTTGTTGCCAAATTTTCAATTTTTTCGAGAAATTGCCAGGACTCCGTTTAAGGCCCGGCAAACGCGTATAATTAATCAAAATGCACTTTAATATACTTTTAATATCAATCAAGCGATACAGGTCAGGATAAGAGACTCCCAGCATGCAAGGAGTGCCTTAGGGGACGCAATCATGGACCGCCGAAATCCCTTAAAAATGCGCCTAAATACTACGTATATTTCATGTTAATTTTCATAGGTTTTATTTTGCTTTTAATTATAATTGTTGCTATTATAATTATTGCTATAATTATAATGATAATAATTACAATTATAATAATTATAATTATATATTAGAGTGTTCAGTAACACTGTAATCAAAATCATTTTCCGGGTCAGTTTCTATAATAATTAGCATTATTGGTTTTTTTTTAGGACCGGCACCCCTGCAGAATGTGGGTAAAGAGCCTTATGCAAAAACGGCCAAATCCCCCGTAGCCCCGATTGCTTCCATTTTTTAGTACGCTATTTTACCATATCAAAGAGCCCCGTTTCTGATAATTTCAAGTTCAAAAAAAATTTTCCGCGCTTTGGCGGCGTTGCCAAGTTGCAACCTTAAAAATTCGATACGCAATGAAACGCAAAGAATTTAAAGTAATCGCCTATTGAGATGAATTCCTACATTCGTCGTCAGAATCATCCTCGGATGTGTCCTCTAAGAGAGGTTTGATCTGGTGATAGTGCCAATGGACCGTTAGACAGGGTACGAATTTAAGCATTCTATTACATGTTTCTGAACCAAAATTTCACGTAGAACACGATTCGCGCAACGAAAATTACTGAAACCAACTCCTAAGAAAGATATTAACCTTTTTATTTCACATTGGTTACGAGGAATTTGAACTGCCCGCTCACAAGAAGCTCAAAGCTCTACGTGAGTCAAATTGCGCACTACAACGGTTTCAGCAAGCCTCCCAATCGAGCAATGTTCACTTCCCACCACGTGTTGTTCAATCTATGAGCAATTTGCTATAGCTGAGCCAAAGCGTCAAGATCAAGGTTGCCAGATTTTTATATCGCAGAGACTGTCATGATAACGTTTAGCGCGCGATGTGAATCACGTAGAGCATTGAGTTTTCATGAGCGGGTGGTTTGAATTCACGCATCAATAATCATCAAATATCTTTGTAAGGAGTTGATTTCGGTAATTTTCGTTGTGCGTATCGTGTTCTACGTGAAATTTTGGTGAAGGAACATGTATCAGAATGCTGAAATTCGTAACTTGTCTAGTGGTCCATTCCTACATTCGTCGTCAGAATCATCCTCGGATGTGTCCTCTAAGAGAGGTTTGATCTGGTGATAGTGCCAATTCAGATATTCTGCCGGTGCCTTGAATCCTGCATGACGGCCGAAACCTAGGCTGAACCATTTGATGGCAATCGCGTGTGCACAGTGCCCAACATTGTTCTGGCTCCATTCATGCACGTACAATAGCAGGTGGCCACAGAGGACATTGTTCGTTTGTTAAGATCAATTAATATAAGTCCACTGTACATCTTTAGCGATTTGTGTCTTGACAATAACCTACATTTCAAAAAAACTGGATCAACAACATGTGTTTCATGATCCAAAAAGTTTGGTTGGTAGCTGTCCTTGCAAACTTTATTTTCATATTTGCCGTAAGCAAAATGATCTGCTATGTAAGATCTTGCGAAATGTAACTGGTATAATTCACAAAAGAGTTTCATATCCTCCGCAATTCACACCTGAAGTTGCTGATAATCAGTCTCCTCCAATATTTTAAAGTTTTTACTTT